TGATATAAAGTTCTTACCATTTCCATTGTATTCTTAACCAACTTGACATCATCAAAGCTTATTATCCGATGAATAACCTTTCTAGGTCGAATTCTATCTCCCGGATTACCCATAAGAGGAGTTTTTGTATCCCGCATAAAGCATAATGTAAGCAAAGACTTAAACAATTCAATAATAGTGGTGAAAATAATTCTTATCAACAACCAAAATCTCCCAAACCCCCAGCCCGTATCATTGGAATCAACATGTTTTCTTGTAGCTGCGGTAGTAGGAAGAGCGTCGGGGTCTGATGTTTTTCGTGAACTAGCGTATAGAAGAGACATAAGAGACATTCCATCGCCAAGTGAATGATGAAATTTCCCTATACCTAAAGATTCTACATTTGATGTTTTTATATTTAGTACATGAAATTCCCACAAAGGTTTAGACATGTCCATTGGAGTATTAGCTATGTTTGACGTATAGTCTTCTATAAATTCATCAGGCTTTTCAATATTGGAATAATCAAGATCGGGAACAATGACATGATCTTCTACTCGAACATTAACAGGAACCCAAACCGGTTCTCCATGTTTCTTATCATCCATCTCCTGAAACATTTATATATAGTCACATAGGTGATTATATATTTAAGATTACATTGAAATGGTTAGACATTTGTAAAATACATTGTTTGCATTTGGTGAGTAAAGAAAAATGTAACGATTAAGGCATGTAAAATGTTATATGTTTACCACTTTGCTACAGAAGCGGGGGAGCTTGAGCCATGTGTTCCTGATACCTTCAACAATGGCGGATGGGTTGCATCTAGTTTTAAAACCTAAAGTAAAGACAATGACGCAGTAGAAATTCGGCGAAACGAAAAGCTGGGACACCGGGCTAAGCGGCTTCATTGTTGTCTTCTCTTGCTTCTCTCTCACCATGTCTTCTCCCTTTCTCATAGTTATTTTTATTATTCTCCAATCTTGCCTTTCGCCACACTTCGCTCTTATAGTAGTACTACAGTTTTATTTTCCCTACCATCCTTCTTCATTTAAATGGTGCTGGAAGATAAGTAGATTTTGTAAATCATGTGGCTTTTATTATATCTTTCTGACTTTATAGATGTCCAATTTATTGCACTACCATTTAGGTGATCGTACGAGTCATCTCTTGTGGCTCATTCTCACAAGAAGTTTGGATGGCTACGACACACAAGCTACTACTTACTACTCCACCAATATCTTGGGACGACGTACTACAGTGGCTACCTACAACAACTACAAATAAGGAAGTATCCCTGGCTTTACTTCAAGGATAGAAGGCTTGTATTTACGAAATTTGGTTTGAACGTAATAGGCGTTATCACAGTGAACTTTTGTTGCCTCCATCGAGGATCTTTCACAAGCTGTTAACATTGATCAAAGACAAGGCTGAAAGCCTAATCATCGAGTATCCTAATCGAATCCCGATTCTGCCTTGCTGGGAAGGACCATCAACATTCCCATTCCGACCTCCATGAATGTAATCCCAACTACATCTTAACCGTGCTCCTCTGGCAGTGGTCATTTAGGGGGATT